ACAGCGTGTCCACATTATTTGTGGAAATAATATAGCTTACAAGAGCTAGATAAAACAATATGTAGAAAAACAAATTACAATCTCTTTACCTTAATTATAAATCAGACATACCTAACACTGGGCCATTCTAAAAATCAATATAGTCACTTGCTAATCATAGCAATTATTGTGAAGTTATTTTGTACTTTCACGTTGCTGGAAGCATGACTTTAAAAAAATGATGAGGATCTGTTTATAATATTCAACCTTAAAATATCCAAGACTATAAAAGTTGTCTCACTACCAATATTATCATATTAAATTGTTTACATATATATATATATATATATATATATATATATATATATATATATATATAAAACAAATATTAAAATTCAAGGGGGCACCTATTTTCCTTGGGCCCCTATGCCTTGCTTACGCTAGCTTTACCGTAATTACATAAGCTATGGCACTGATTCATTTACTTATTTCGCTATTTATTTACGACTAGCCATCGGTACCCGTTGCACTGGCAATTCTGGTGACTTAGCTCTCTTCTCTTTACAAAAGGCTACCCCGTTTTTCTTTTAGATATTTATCTCCATGGAGCGGCATTTAAAACTGTCCTGAAGTGGGTGTGGAGGTTGTGTGTGCCTGTATATATTTTTATGAATTACTTTTTTCAATTTCTTTGGGAGGGGAAAGGGGAAAAACGGTAGAGATGTCTAAACAAAATGTAAATACCTAAGTGAGTAATGAAATGTATTGTAATTCAGCGTTTAAAAATGTCATTATCGGAAACTTAGGAAAAGAAACATTTTATTGATCAAGAGCATTGGAATGAAACATTGTTAAGATTATGAAAACAAGGGGATTTGTTTTATGTACTGTCTATGTTTATATTTGTTAAAAATAACATAGACTACCATTGTACCAATACCTATTAGAAAAATAAAAACCAAGTTATATACAGTATTAGTCAACACAATACCATATTAAATGCACTGGCAGATTAAGAGACTTAAAATTAAGAGATTTAAAAGATGTCATTATAAACCCGGCTGTTCAATGGTAGTTATGTTGTTTTTGTCTTTTAAAAACACCTATTTCGGCTGAGCATGGGTGTGACCAAAGTATCCCTTCCTATGCTGAAAAGACAGAAACAGGTGAACTCTACTTCACCTGCCCCGTGTCCCGCCAAGTTCTGATAGTCAACTTTATCATTCACATATAAAAAACAAATTGAAAAAAATATTTAAGATTGACTTTGGGTGTCTCGAAACCCATACCACCCGCATTGTATCAATTACACTATTATCTCAGCTATTTAGACACTATAGGTCTTATGGAGAATAAAAGAGGTACTTAAGAAATTTAACTTGCGCGAATAGGCCCTATTCTTTCAAATTAAATTTTATCCCAAATTAGACTTTTCTATAGCCAAACAAAGATTTCAATAAAATAATTAAGACCTGAAATAGTTTTGTATTGTATTGTATACATTTCATAGCGTACGTAGATGTAAATAAAAGTTGAATTAAATAGTTCCTTTCTTTATATTCTAAAATTGGAAGATGAAACCATTAGTTGTGTGTTCTTTCCTTAGTGTAAACCAGGGGTCTCCAAACTACGGCACATGGGCCAGATGCAGCCCGCGAGGTCTTCTCATCCGGCCCTCTGAGATCTTTTTGTCCACGGAAAAAAAATGTTTGTTGGAGGTTTGAAAAGATTCAAAAGAAACTGAAAATGTAGCATTGGGTGCAAATACCATTAAAGTAAATGTGGCCAGTTGCCTCGCAAATTACCTCCTTAAAGACAAGTTCAAAGAAGGGTGGGTGGGTTTTATCAGTATTTGCCCACCCCGAAGAGTGCCTGTGCCTGGAAGAAACTCTGGCCCCCGAACTTATATTTGATAGTTAATGCGGCCCTCGGGCTGAAAAGTTTGGAGAACCCTGGTGTAAACGTTAATGTTAATCGCATGCTTGCCACAACATGTGTGACGTCATTGTTAATCGCGTTCTTTTCATAACTATAAACACTTTTCCGGTTGCATAATTAAAATTGTTTTTCTACATTCAAATATGCCTTTGTTTTTTATTTTCCTTCTTTAAATAAAATTTAGTTTATACATTTAAAACATCTACCATATTATTTTCAACAAAAGTCCGTAGCAAATTCACCATATATCGCTGAAGATACTGATCTGAGAGCCTGTGAAAATATTTTGCTGAGAGAGAGAGAGAATTGCACACATGTGCTTTTATATATTTGGATATATATGTGTATATATACACACACACACATATATTTCATTAATCACTTTCCATATATATAGGTATATACATTTTCTTTATGCATCTCTACCGGTTTCTTCCTCTTTCATCTCGAAACTAATATATGTATATGTATGTATATGTTTATATATATATATATATATACATATATATATACACATATATACACATATATATATACATACATATATATATATATATATACATATATATATATATACATACATATATACATACATACATATATACATACATACATATATACATACATATATATATACATATATATATATATATATATATATATATATATATATATATATATATATATATATATATATATATATATATATATATATATATATATATATATATACATATACATACATACATATATACATATACATACATAAATATATATATATACATACACATACATACACATACATACACACACATACACATACATACACATACATACACATACATACACATACACACACATACACATACATACACATACATACACATACATACACATACATACACATATATACATACACATACATACACATATATACATACACATTCATACATACACACACATACACACATATACACACATACACACATATACACACATACACACACATACACACATATACACACACATATACACATATACACACATATACACACATATATACACATATACACACACATATACACACATACACACACATACACACACATACACACATACATACATACACATACATACATACATATATATACATACATATATATACATACATATATATACATATATATATATATATATATATATACACATTTACATATATATATATATATATATACATACATATACATATATACATATATATATATACATATACATATAATGTGGTTATGCTTTTATTAAAGAAAGGAAGTTTGTTGTATTTTCTTACTTTCAGTACATTTGTTATAAGTTTTTATATTTTAAAAAATTAAAACTGTTTATCCAGGATAAACATATACCACTGTGGAGGGGGTAATATAGTTTGTATAAATGGAGTGGTCTTATCAATCAAATCTAAATGCTTTGTTTTTCATATTCTGCTTCTACCTTCAGCCATTAGAAGTAATAGAGCAAATATGGTGCAGGCATCAGCACAAAAAAACTGGCATCAAATTCACACCAGATGTAAACCTCTAATGGATACTTGAAACTTGTCACTAAAAATTGATCATAGATCAGCATAATGCTAACCACACAATACAATCCTTTCATTTAACAGATACACTCTAAATTATTTCATCAACCTCCTTTTAATTTTTTTTCTTTTTGTTTGTCTGTTTGGTTACAGGAGAGAATCTGCACTATGTGTAGAGCTGTAAAATAGTATTTAGGTAGAGAGCAATATTCTTTTTGACCAAAACTGTTAATCACAAATTAATTTAAAGATGTTAATTAATTATTGATATCGTAGATTAATTATAAAAGTTCAGAAAAATGGCTTTACTTATAATGACGTCACATGATTTATTTACTTTTTTTTACTTTTTATAATAATAATGGTGGCTTTCATCGAAGATTTTGATGCCCATTTAAAAGTTTAACGCATAATAAAGCTAATTTTCTGTCTGCTATAGCTTTAACGATACGTCCGTTTGCTGTTTTTATTACGTTCCAACACTATTATCAATTTTTGACAATAAATCTTCTAATTTGAGTATACAATAAATTTTTCTAGATCTACAGATCAGCTGTCGGAGGAAGCATAGATCTAGAATCTAGGTCAAGCCAAAATTAATTAGTTAAAAATAAAAACAATTATAAAAACACGATTAATTTTTGAGTTTCTTTATTAAACTATATTAGTCCTTAAATATTTGATATAAAGCTTTGCTTTTTATGGATCAACTCATTCGAGAATACTATGGATTTATCTATCCAGATCTAGAGCTATGGTAAAAATTAAAATAGAGCTAGAAATCTAGATCTTTAGGGGGTCACACTTTTTTTGACGATTTTTACCTCCCCCTCCCCTCCACACGTCACAAAATGCCAGACACCCCCTAAAATGATGTCACACCTCAGCCTACACCCCCCTTCAAAATTGCTGTTGCATTTTTATTAAACCTAAAAAAACATCTATATTTTTCCAAAAACTCTGTCAACATAGAGTATTTTGATCAATTCCTATTACAATTTATTTAAACCTTTTTCTAAAACGCGAAATAAACGGCTAAAACTCGTTTCTAACTTTGCTTTTTTTAAACGCAAAAGTGTGACGTCCCACCATCTGAACCCTCCCCCGTCATCACAAACCATCACAAAATTAAGGACCCCCTAAGAGTGTGACGTCATTTATGGACGACCCCTTAGCTCTAATATAGGTTTAGAATTTATGCCAATAATTATTTTCTATACTAAACTATTTCAGGCCTTAATTATTTTATATAAATATGTGTTTGTTTAGCTATGGAATTGGCTAATTTAAAATAAAAAATTAAATTCGAAATAATACTAGGGCCTATTAGCAAATATCAAAATTTCTTACCCAGACTCAAAGTACAATCTAGAAAAATATTTGTCTCTTATATGAAGAACCTAGATAACTAAGATATTAGTGTAAAAGGTTACCATGCAGGTGCTATGGGTACAATATTTATGTTAATTTTTTTTTATTTTTATTTCCACTATTTTTTTCATTCTTTCAGCAAGTGAACAATTAAAAGTTAAAAAAGAAAAAGATGGTGCTGATATTCCACAATTCAATTATGGATCAGCATTTTTGGGACCCAATTTATGGGATAGATCTATTACACAGTCAGATTTTAACCTGGAATACATGGATCTAGATGAATTTTTGTCTGAAAATGGAATTCCAGTTGCTAGCGACGAGACAGTTGAAATTGAAAAGGAAAAACTAAAAGATAGCATTATGCCATGTAAGTATTTAAAAGTAATATGTATATTATATTACCTTTAAAAAATTTCCACTTAAAATATAAATCTTACGCAAAAAAATTTTTATGTCAATTAGGGGAATCAATTTTGTTAACTAGTTTGATTTGATTGTTAACAAATCAGTTAATTAATAAAATAAGTACATATTCATGAAACTAAATATATATATATATATATGCATGTATACATATGTATGCATGCACACATGCATGTATACATACATACGTATATAAATATACTTGTATATATATATACATACATATATATATGTATATATACATACATACATATATATGTATATACATACATACATATATAAATATACATGTATATATACAACTTGCATATATATATACATGTATACATACATATATATATATGCATGTATATATACATACATATATATGCATGTATATATACATACATATACATGCATGTATATATACATATATATATATGCATGTATATATACATAGTACACATATATATATATACATATATATACACATATGAACACATATATATGGATATATATACGTACATATTTATATACGTACGTATATACATATGTATGTACATATATATATACGCACACTTATATATATGCACATATATATAGACACACATATATATGCACATATATATACGCATATATATATATATATGCATATATATATACGTACATATATATGGATATATGTGTACATATATATATGCATATATCAGACATGCCTACCGTCCCGCCAAAATCGGAACCGTCCCGCTTTTTCACCTAAAAAAGTAATTTGTTCCGTCATTCCAAAATTGACTCAGTTGGTTCCGATTTTTTGAAAAAAAAAAATAATAAAGAAAGGTAATCAAGTAAATTAAAAAAAATGTCAGGAAAAATCAATTATCTCCCTTTGGCACACGTTTCTGTTTCCTAGTTTACTTACAATATTTACCAGTACCATCATCTAATACTAGATCTAGTTAGTAGTATATCTACTACTACTAGATCTAGAATTGTAATTAGATCTACTAGTAGATACTGAAATAGTGAATACTGATCTATCTTGTACTTGTTAGTTTAACTTAACTAGTAACTACTATTATGAAGAACTTAGTAAGAAGTAACTAGGAGTTTTACTAGGTAGATCAAGGGTCTTTGCTCGTAACTTATATTATATAGATCTATTACATATGATGAAGCCTTCAGCATTTGTTATTCATATAGCCTAAAACATAGCAAGACATAAATATTCAAATCAATAATGCTATGTCAAAGCTATGATTTTTTATTCGGGGGGGGGGGGGGGGGGGGGGGGTGTTTAATATATTTTTTTAAAAATGTAAGCTGACATTAAGCAGTATTTCAATGTATCCTAGAGACTAGTTATATAGAACTAGAAGCCTACTAATGTCATTAGAGTAATTTTTTAATTAATGATTTTTATTTTTGACTTAGTAAAGTTGCATCCATGCGTATGTTCCTCTTTTTGGCTTCAAATTCCTCTTTTTAGGCATAACTGTTCCTACTTTTGGCTGACAGGGGTAGGCATGTCTGATATATATACACTTACATATATACGCATATGTATATAGGTACATATATATATATATATATATATATACACGCATATACGTACATATATATACACACATATATATGCACATATATATACGTACATATATATATACTTATATATAGGTGCGTATATATATGTATGTATATATGCATATATATGTACGTATATATGCATATATATAGGTGCATATATATATATATATATATATATATATATATATATATATATATATATATATGCATATATATATACATATATATATATATATATATATATATATGCATATATAGGCATGTCTGATATATATACACTTACATATATACGCATATGTATATAGGTACATATATATATATATATATATATACACGCATATACGTACATATATATACACACATATATATGCACATATATATACGTACATATATATATACTTATATATAGGTGCGTATATATATGTATGTATATATGCATATATATGTACGTATATATGCATATATATAGGTGCATATATATATATATATATATATATATATATATATATATATGCATATATATATACATATATATATATATTATATATATATATATATATATATATATATATATATATATATATATATATATATATATATATATATATATATATATATATATATATATATATATATAGTATATATATATATATATATATATATATATATGCATATATATATACATATATATATATATATATATATATATATATATATATATATTTATATTTATATTTATATATATATATATTTATATTTATATATATATATATATATATATTTATATATATATATATATATATTTATATACTTATATACATATATATATATTTATATATATATATATATATAATTTATATACTTATATACATATATATATATTTATATACTTATATACATATATATATATTTATATACTTATATACATATATATATTTACATACTTATATACATATATATATATTTACATACTTATATACATATATATATATTTACATACTTATATACATATATATATATTTACATACTTATATACATATATATATATTTACATACTTATATACATATATATATATTTACATACTTATATACATATA